CCAGGTCGTAGGTTCGATTCCCACCGTGGCCAGGCATAACTTTCAAGCCTGCCCGGTGTGGATATACACTCAGAGTAACATCACAAGCATCTTATTCACCTGAGTACATTACAGCAAAACACCAAAGAAAATGGAAATGATCAAAATTGACTGTTTAGAGCAACAAATGTCCTCCTCTACCCGAAGGATGCAGTGTGCTTCCCTGATTACTCTCACGATACATCACTTGCGAACGACATTGGCCAGTTTTTCTATAAAAAGTTCATCAATATTCGTGAAGAGCTTCACGCTGTAGTTATTGATCAACGTAATCGTTCTCGACTAATAAATGACCCTTAATTTGGTTTTGATCGAAGCCTGGAGAAATTCGAGGTTCTTTCAACTGACATGGTGTCCCAGCCATAGAAATAATAGACATAGAATGCGCGCTCCTATCTTTTCTCATTAAAAATTTGTCTCCACAATATGGCGGATTTATAAGGGCAGTTTGGTTGGTCCCAGACTCCTGAGGTGGGGAATTTCGCGCGGTTGCAGGGAGTGCGAATTGTTTTTTCAACTGAAAAGTTTGCAAAAAATTTTATATCGAGACTTAAAATGGAAAAGAAGTTTTACACAGAAGAAAAACTGTCGAAAAACCCATTCTAGTGGGCTTTTTTTACGAAAAGGAACAGTTCTGAACAGAATGTATAGAAATCGTGGCTTAAAAATAAATTTTCAACGTTGTTGTGCAAGCCGCAAAACAAAACCCGAAAGATCAAGACAAACTCAAACTCAATAGGTACGTTCTACAAATACTTCAACTCTTTTATAATATAAATAAAGTTCAATAATCTTTTTAAACTTACAGAATTACTTTTCATATTTTTCTACGTTGCTTGAGCTTGAGGCAACGCTTTAGAAACCATAGTTTTCAACGATTTTTTAGACAATTTACAGTTTATCGACAACTAAATATTTTTGTTTCAAGAACGTGTGAAACACTTGTTTACATTGAAGAAATATGAAAAAACCCAACATCGAAGAAAGAACTATTATTTTGTAATCTTATAAAATATTAGCAAAACAGTGAAGTGTGGCGTTCAGAGCATGCAAAAATGTTTTATGAGTAAATTATATTTACGCGAAACTACACAGGGGCATAGATTAAGCTAGTAAGGACAGATGTGTAACTTCAGTAAAAAAGTTGTCCCATGGTCGCCATCTTTCTAGCAGGTGTCGCTCGCGTGATTATTCGTCATTTGGTAGTACGTCATTGCCTTCAAAAATGTTTTCGACACCTTTTCTACAACTTTATTTGCTTTTAACAACTTTAAACATTCAACAAATGATGCTCTTGATTGTTTAATTCATAAATTTCGATCGAACAAGGCCGCAATAAAATGCAAAAGTTCATGTTTTCCAGGACGCCATCTTCCTATCAAGTGTCATGGCGTGAGCATGACGTGTACATCTAGCGAAATTTGAGGACACGAAATCCTATTAAGTTACACATCTGGTATGTACTTCATCTGTGACAGGGGGCAGAGGAGCGATTGTGTTTTGTTTTACTTTGAATAAACAATCGAGTGACTTCCCTTAATTGTTATCTAAAATCTAAATATCATCTTTTGCAATTAATTGAATTCATCCATCAATTAATTCCACTTAATTCAAGATATAAAAACGACACACATATATTTTAAATATTTTCATATTCGAAAAGTTTTGTTTTAGGACTCGTGTATAAACGCGCAACCGACTACACTGCAGGCTTGCATTGCCCGAATCGCAAACGAAGTTTGCTTCGGGAAACGATGTGCACCCGAGCGAGGAACGAAAGAAAATTGAGAAAGGGAAGAAACTTCCAATATTGCATTGTTGCATGTGCACCGCAACAACTAGTGACGGAAGTGACGTACAGGAGTGATTCCACTTAAATGCCGTTGCTAATTATATTTTGTTTTTTAAAAATAAAACAGCAGGTGTGGAGGGAAATTTAAATATTTATATTGTAGAATGGACAGATCTATTCTTAAACGACACGCGTCCCATATAGAAATAAACAATAAATCTAATAAAAAACCGAAGTTGTACAACAGAGAAAAACATGTTATTGTTTCAAATTGGTAAGACGTTTGAAAAAAACTGAACACTATAATATTAATTTAAACCAGTATAAAAACGTATTTTTTTGCTTAGTCTAAATACATACTAGCTAAATATACTAATAATTGGATATACTTTAATATAGCATGTTTCTCAAATATAATAACATTTCATACCTTCGAATAAATTACCGAACAGACGCAGACAGTATTCAATCATTTGTGACACTTCAAAAAATATTCTTCAAGAATACAATAACAATTGCTCTGAAAAAGAAAACTGCGACCTGCATGTAGTTGAATTAGGGAAAATTTTGGCAGAGGTTTTCCCAAATTTGAATAAATTCCAAAAAAGAATAAACGGTACGAGAACGTGGGTATACTCGCTTGTTAAAAACAAATGGAGTGATGATTCTAATATTCTATTCAATGGGAAAACCTACCGGATTTTTTGTAAAACCACGTAATACCACTTTCTGTCATGCGCAATTCAACTCTTTCGTCACTTCCGTCACTAGTTGTTGCGGTGCACATCATACGAAAATAGCGAAATATACACCAGCATTTTATTCGTTAATTCGTAGGTTTAACTACTATTTTCCCAGATTTCTTTCGTTAAATATTGAGACTATATCCTTTCTATGTCGTGTGCATAATATGGTGTGTTTCTGTAGAATTTCAAGCGAATTATGATGTTTCGAAAATGATGTCCGAATTCTAAATTTGGAAGTTTCGACCCTTTCATTATATTTAGCTTGTAAACAATCTAGCGTAAGTGTGCGCGCCCGCAGTAATTTGGCGTGCGGTAACGTGCAAGTTATATTACTTCATTTAACTTCAACCAATATAATATAATAGTTATTTAATGATATTTTTGCCTTTTTTCTGCTGCAAAAAAAATATTTTTTAAATAACAAGGTCAGTTCCTCAGTCCCCTGTGGAAACTACTTTGTTTTTACAAGGCTGCACTATTTTCACCGTTTTTGTAACTGCACAATTGCTTTGACAGTTTGTGTCTTCAAAGAACTCAAAATCTATCAGCAAACTACAAATTAGACAACAAGACAAACGTTTTGACGATGAAAACGTAGTTTTAGCTTTGTTTATATTTTGTATTTGGCACTCCTAGACAAATTCAACATGGCGGATTTATAAGAGCACGCATGACAAAAAGTGGAGACATGATTCGTGATCAAGTACGCATTCTATATATATTACTTCTATGGTCTCAGCTTATTCAGAAAACAGCGAAGAAGAGTTGTGCCCTAGAACTTATGCCTGCATTACTCGTGGTACCGGTCAGGATCAAGAGTCTAAATGAACTGCTATCTGTCATTAACTGCATGATCAACTCCTCCCTCTCGCTAGGTTATTTTCCCTCTGCTCTGAAATCCACCCCGTTGATCCAAGGCTCAACAAAACTGGTCAACCTGCCTCGCTATCAAATTTAAGACCTATAAGTAATCTCCAGTTTATATCTAAATTGACGGAAAGAGCTGTAAGTGACCGCGGATACTTGAACACATTAAATGTTCAGATATATACCCAATCCTACAATCAACACATCGAGTTGGTCATAGTAAGGAAACAGCCTTACTAAAAGTACATAATGACATTATGTGCTCTATGGGCCAACAAAAAAAAAGCAAAAAAAGAAGAGGCACACCAGTAGCACTTTTAGACTTGAGTGCTGCATTTGGCACTGTAGATCATCAAGTGTTACTACGTCGTCTTGAGGTCAGTTTCGGATTAACAGGTACAGCCCTTAAGTGGTTTAAATCCTACTTAACTAACAGATTCCAACGTGTGCTAATAAATGGTAACTGTACTTGATAAGAATTCTATTGTTATTAGAAACACACAGTTGGCAATTGAGACCATTGTAATGACTATACATCCATTTTATTGTTTGCCTGCTGGTGCTTAACAATATTAATAAACAACTTTTCATTAGAATGAATGTATTCTTGACTCTGATGTCTAATCTCTAGATTTGTATGGTTCTCATATACATGCTATTGTATGCTTATTTCTTGACGTTGAATATCTTTAGGCGATAGTGAATGATTATGCATATTCAAATGTTTGCATTGACTACGCGTTTCATGCAATTCGCTTTCAAATCCGTCCACATGCATATCTCTACGTTTTATTGGTTGCTGGTTCAGACTCATGGTAGCTCGTTTTATCATCATGAGTAACAAACGGTGTAATGTATATATTTATATATGTAATTATATTAATCTCAGTATTCTGAAGAAGGCGCGAAGTAATGGGTTGTGTTATTGTTCGGTAATAAGAAAAGTTGAAAATGTTCTGGAGTGATCATGAGTATTTCAAAATTTCCAGACTGCGCGCAAGCTGAAGGATATTGCCTGCCGCGGCTGGGTTTTAAACCCGCGAACTTTGAGGTACTATATCGACGCTATATATACATATATACATATACTTGTCTATATACGGTATAACGGTATATATATATATATATATATATATATATATATATATATATATATATATATATATATATATATATATATATATATATATATATATATATATATGTATATAATTATTATTATTTTTTCTACATGTAAGCCGTGTATATTATAATTCCGTGAGTTCCAGTTTATTAATTCAACTAGAAATACATGCATGCCGAAACCCTCGCTTTAAACAATTATACTTTTCGAACATGATGTGTTTAACGAGTTGTGATGGTAACACGATAATTTTATTTAAATATTTTTAAAATTGAAAAATCCAGCATGACCTCCACCTTTAAATTTACTATGTGAGTAAATTGTTAAGCACGTCCCAATTTTTCAACATGACAAATTCGTGGCACATTTTGAAATTATAGAACTACAAACGGCACCGTTATCTATAAAACTTTTTTTCTTTTTTTTTAACAAAAGCGATGGATTTCCAGATCTTTATAATGCGGACGAAGTCAAAGATATCCCAAACGTAACGGGGTAAGTCTTGAATAATTGTGTTATATAAACTAGAGTGGTAAAACTTTTAGTGGAAATTTAGTATAAATCCTTACACATGTCAAAACGTGTTTCTTAACAAGATGGCGGATTTGTAAACACGCGCGTTGTAGCGTCTGCGTTTATAGAATAAATATTTGCTAATTTATCGATACAGATTGACCAGGTATTATTGAAATATACTAGTTAAAAGTTAGAAGAAAGCTTTGCCTCGATCGAAGTCTGACGAAATAATATATTTTATACGAAAACCAGCGAATTTTAAAGAAATATGGCTGAACACGCTAAAGCGATTTCATCGATCGACCCAAATGTCGAAGAAGATAAATTTGACATCGGTCGTTTTCAAGTTGACAGCTTTAAAGGCACGAATATGAAACGTGTACCTCTCGAGCAACTAGATTTCTCAATTTACAACTCAAATGCATATCTCGTAGCTTTTTCTTCGACCGAAGAAAGACTGCCCATATGGATCAAAGCAATGCATCTGCGCTAATGACAGCAAAATAATCACCCACTAATGACGGCAAAATGACGCGCAAAATGGCGCGAATGACGGCAAAATAATCACCCACTGGGAAGAAGAAAAGAACTCGAATGATCCCACGAAATGTGACAAAGTAACAATCACCCTGAGATCCCAAGAAAACGAAAAAAATATAGTCAGTATCACTGTTATGGTCAACAAAGGAAGAATCCAAATACAAGGTCGCTTTATGAAAGGGTGAGGTAGTGAAGAATTCCCCATATTAATGGAACTGATCAATAATCCAGACCTTATGAAAAGCAACCCTGCAAAAAATCTTAACAATTTTACTGCCAAAACACTTTCTCAGAGAACCACCAACCAACAGACCTGAGCGACTTCTCAACAACCTGATCATGATCATCCTATTCCTTTGGATAGCAGCATAAACCATTCACCTAAAGAAAGACCCCTGATTAACACCGTTAAGACCAATTTGGCAACCCTTGAGGCAGATTTCATCGAGTTTAAACAAAATACGAACAAAACCATCACAGAACTGAGCACAACTATACTCGACGAAGATATCCAAATTAAAAATTTGGAAAATGAGATTACCAACCTAAAGACAGGGTACTCAAAAAACCAACAGTTATGCGGTGACTTATCTCTAAGACACTCAGAAATGGAAGAGGAATTAAAAAAATGCATCATAAATATAAATCTCTTGAAGAGAAAAACTCAATGTTAATAGGCAAAACTGGCAGCATTAAACGAGAGTATCGAAAGCCGAATTAATGAAGATTTAACAATCGAATCAAACTCCATCGGATGCTGACATCCCCACTTCAAACAAATTCCTGTCTCTCTCAGATGAATCCATCATCGAAAAACTTACACACAAATCCCCCGCAAAACAGCAATCTGTTCCATCCGACCAAAACAACGCAAGGAATGAAGCTGATACAATATTAATTTGCGATAGTAATAGCCGACATTTATACCCTTCATTATTATGCCCCAACAGCAAAACAAGCTATACCCGATGTGCCACCCTTGTACAGGCAAAATCAATAATAAACAGTACTACATATACCTCACCTAAATCCTTCATTATCCACCCTGGAACAAATGACTTAGAACACTCAGATACAAATGAGGCACTCATAAAGAATGCAAACGACACCGTGGAATTTATCCAAACTAAGCACCCAGAATCCCACATAATTTTTTCATCCATTCTCCAAAGAAGTGATGAATTAGACAAGAGGGGAATGATCCTAAACAATAGTTTGGAGAAATCATTATCTACAAAGAAAAACATCACCTTTGTCAGACACCCCAACATCAACTCCAAATACCACCTGAAAGTCAAGAAACATGTCAATGATGTTGGAGTCAAGCGTTTCGCTCAGAGCCTGAAGCGTGCATACTTTAAGAATCCAGACAAACCAAGAAATAATTTTCCTACTTCTCAGATCCCATATAACCGACCCTTCTTCCCTTTTAATCCTCACCCCCAGTCTACTCCTTTTCATCCTCCTCACTCTCCACCAGCAAGTTTTCCTCAGCAAAGTTCTAACCAAAAACGTCCTTATAACCATTATCGATATCACTCGACATACCATCAACAAACGATCCCAAAACTGACAACGCTCCTTGGGAATCGAGATGCAAGACTTGGAAATGATAAAAAAAACAAGAAATACCAATACAACTGATACAGCTAATCAAGGACCTATAAAATAGGTGTGTTATTTAATAACAAATCATATATCATAAGAATAATATTTAATAGTTGTAAGACAATTATATATGCAACACTTGAGTATAATGAACTTAATTATCTCCTATATACTTCCCCTTTTCTTCTAATTATTACATTGAAATTTTGATAACCTAATATTTAGTATATTAGAAAATGCCTGGTCATTCTATACAGGGTGTATCAAAAAAAACTGAACAGATTTGAAATTGCTCTCAATTTCGCAAAACACCTATTTGCATCCGGTTTTTTATATATGTAGTTTCTTTGGGTACTTATAATGTAGAATAATGAAAAAAAATTCTCGAACTCAAATTTTGTGAACCAGGGGGGTGTATCTTTTCCAACAAACTAAAAATGGCTCGCGCACAAAATTTAAAAGCTGTAATCATATTTTGAGTTAATAGATGGAAAATGTGTCGGGTTTTTAATTACTGTACAAAATTTCAGAGAATTTGGTTTAGTTAAGTCCTTTAACTATTCATTTTTTCTAAAAAGTCAGCCTTTCGCATGCTAAATTAATGCCTTTACCTAATTTGCATATTGCTGACATATGCAAATTAGGCAAATGCATTAATTAAGCATGCAAATAGCTGATTTTTAGGGAAAAATGTAACTTTGCGTGAATAGTTAAGGGGCTTAAACTAAACCAAATTGTCTGAAATTTTGTACAGTAATTAAAAACCCGACAAATTTTCCATCTATTAACTCAAAATATGATTATAGTTTTTAAATTTTGTGCGCGAGCCATTTTTATTTTGTTGGAAAGGACACACCCCCCTGGTTCGCAAAATTTGAGTTCGAGAATTTTTTTTCATTATTCTACATTATAAGTACCCAACGCAGCTATATATATAAAAATCCGGATACAAATAGGTGTTTTGCGAAATTGAGAGCAATTTCAAATCTGTTCAGTTTTTTTTGATACACCCTGTAGATAACTTGCTTAATAGTTTTTTTTTTATAAATGTCTACAAACTTATCATTCAGTACCTGGAACATCCATGGTACAGTACTTCAAATGTTGTCCTTGGTAAGAACACTAAAAACAAGGACATCATTGACCATACTAATAATATAGATTTCATTTTCCTCACTGAAACTTGGTGTAACTCATGTCGTAAATCGGATGGTATCACTCTACTAACCAGAACCAAATTTGAAAAATTTACTTCAATTCTTAAAAATTCAAAAAAATTTCTATGGTGCAAAATATCAAAAGATATGGTAAGTGCCAAACATGATGTATTTGTATGTGGTGTGTACATTCCACCAGAAAAATCTGTTTATTTTGAAAACGAATTAATTTTTGATGAATTAAAAAATGATATTATACAATTTTTATCAAAAGGAAACATAATGATCCTTGGTGATTTTAATGCTAAAACCAATCCACTGGAAGACTTTATCTCTAAAGATGGCAACAATTTTATAAATGACACTAGTGAAAGTTGCTTGCAACCAAAAAAAAATTAAATTTCGACCACCAAATTAATAACCATGGTAAACAGTTAATTAATCTATGTAAAAACTGTGACATGAAAATTTTAAACGGACGTACAAAAGGTGATTCCTTTGGACGAGCTACTTTCCATGGTAACGATGGTATAAGTGTAGTTGATTACATCATATGTGATCAGGAATACTACTTATTTTGTTGTAAAACCACCAACATACCTGTCTGACCATAGATAAATTGTTACATGGGTTGGTATCGATCAGACAAACAAAAAACCAGATACCAATCCTGGATGTAATATTGAAATGACTAATTTACCAAACCAATACATTTGAGATAACCACTCTAAAAATAACTTTAGAGAATCATTAAGATCACAAGAAATGCAAAAGAAATTGAATGAATTTATGAACTCAGATTTCACAAATGATTTGAACGGAACAAACCAATGTGTAACTGAATTCCAAAACATCTTACTTGAAACATCGAAAAAAAAAGTTTCAAAATCAAAAGGAGCAAAGAAGAAGAAAATTTACTAACGTGGCTCAAAAGAAATGGTTTGATAAAGACTGTAGAATCAGACGACATGATTTAGGGAAATTATCTAATTTAAAACATAGAGATGCTACAAATGTTGAACTTAGAAAAAACTACCATGATGCCTTGAAATCATATAAGGCAACTCTACAACTGAAACAAAATGAATTTCACAACAAAAAGATGAATGAACTAGAAACAGAAACTAATACTGAAACTAATTCTGAAACTAATTCTGAAACTTAATACTGAAACTAATTCTGAAACTCACCAAAAAATCATGAATGGTACTCACATTTTGAACAACTACTTTGTGATCACCATCTTAGTGAGGAACAAGAAAAAATTATCGGAAAGTTGAAACAAAAGAAAAATTAGAAAAATCTCCTCAATGAGCTTGATACGGAAATAACAATTGAAGAAATAATAAAAACAGCTAAGAGAATAAAATCTTAAAAAGCTGCACACTCAGATAAAATCATGGCCAGAAATGGAGGACGTCAAGCGGTCGGGCGTGCGGGCCCATGTTTTCTTAATAATTCAGTGCACTATACAGATCAGTGGTTCAGTTTTGGCAAAATGGCTGTTTATTTTTACTAGTATAGCTCAGTGAGTTACCGAGAACTAAATAAGGCACGGCAGATTTATAAATTGAAAATAAGAAGAGATAAGCTAATGAATGGCTTTCAACACATAATTTCCATTGCAAACAACTATACATAGGGCGTAAAGGCGGAATATCCGACATTGCAAATACAACCAGATATATAGAAAACAAGCAAAATTATAAAATATAACAAACTTTACGCCAACCGAGACTTGATCGATGCTCAAATTTCAAACGTCTACCAATACTCAATAGTTATAAATGTTTTGAAGTCGGCAAATCAAAATTATTACGAAATCCGGCTAATTTTAGAATGTTTACGAGACTACAGCCTATATTGACAGCGGTTAAAACCATTTTAACGTAGCAACAGGTTTATAAAAGCAATGGCGGACAACAAATATAACACTTGGTGCGAAATTTGTGATATTTTTGTTCAAAATATGGTGCATTTCTCATCACAATTGGACAGACACCTCTCTACAAAATACATGCAATTCATCCCTTTGGGGAACATACTAGTGTATACTTTTACGCTTCATACAAGTGACAATAATAAAGAGGAATACTGTACGAAGCAATTCAGATATGCACATTTGACGATATCTGTAAAGAACGAGTTGCAATTGGACATGCAAAATACCTAATATGTCGAAATCACATACTTCCTTATGCAGAGACTAGGCAGAGATATTGATTGCTCGGGAACATACTTAGACAACTCGAGTAGTACCAATTTTTTTACGGATAAAATTTGGACAGAATCGGTGAAGTTTTAGATATGCACATTTTGGATTTCTCAACTGTAAGTTATCAAAAATACAAATTTTGCATTATTCCCATTCAAATTATATAAGAAGACGCCATTTTGAGTTTTTATTTTGAGTCAAAATGCGCATGCTTGGCAGCCATGTTGGACTCCATTTCTGGCCATGATCAACAATGAAATGATAAAATATATTGTTGATATCCCTGCCAATGGTTTTATAAAAGTATTCAACACAACAATGACATCCGGAAAGTACCCAACTTTATGGTGTGAAGGACTTATCTCACGAATTTTTAAATCAGGGAACAAATTAGACCCAAGTAATTACCGAGGAATATGTGTATCAAGCTCGTTAGGAAAGTTCTTCTGCTCTGTCCTCAATAAAAGAATGATGAACTTTTCAAAAACTAAAGAATTGTTACACCCTTCTCAAATTGGTTTCCTACCAAATAACAGAACAGTCGATCATATTCTTACCTTAAAAACGTTGCATGATAAATAAGTTAATCAAAATAATGAGAGAATTACGCATGCTTTATTGATTTTAAAAAGGCCTTTGATTCTGTCTGGCACGAAGGTCTTTATTTGAAATTATTAGAAAATGCAATTGGAGCATGCTTCTATGATCTGATAAAAGATCTGTATTCTAATACTCGGTGTGCAGTGAAAGTATCGGGTCATAGAACACCCTTCTTCTCTTATAATCGAGGTGTACGGCAAGGTTGTGTGTTTAAGCCCTCTTCTCTTTAATCTATATATAAACTAACTTCCTAATCTGTTTGAAAAAGTAAACCCAGACCCATTTCTTTTACCAAATGGAACGAGACTAAGTAGTCTACTATATTCGGATGATCTTGTCATACTATCAAGATCAAAATCTGGTCTCCAAAACTCCCTCAATGAATGGAGCAAAAAAGGCTAATGAATAATAATTTGAAAAAAAACAAAGTTATGATTCTACAAATACATAACTCCAACCTACAAACACTTGACTTTTTCTGGGAGATAAACGTATTTATATCACAAACGAATACACTTATCTCGGTCTAAAACTAACTCCTAACACTAAATTTTCAGTTGCGACTCAGCAACTGAGTGAAAAGGCTATGCATGCCGTATTTAAAATACGGAAAAATCTTGATTTTCAGAAACTTGCACCAAAACTTGCCATAAAAATCTTTGATGGCATATTCTCTCCAATCTTGCTTTATAATTCTGAGGTTTGGGGAGCCTGTGATAACAACGATTTTACTAAGTGGAACAAAACTAGTAGTGAGAAAACACATGTGAAATACTGCAAACTCTATTTAGGTGTGAACAGGAAAGCAAGCAATATCACCAGTAGGGGTGAGTTAGGTAAATTCCCTCAATTAATCCCTATATTCAAAAGATTATTTTCTTACATTAACCACTTTAGTCAGTTACCAGATACAAGTACAGCGAAACAAACTTTTTACCTATCAAAAAAACTTTACTCAAACGGTAAAGATTCATTCTATTCCAATGCTGCAAGCTATATTAAAAAGTTTCATCCCGATATCGAAGATACAATAGATATTGAAAAATTTGTCCAGGATACAAAAATACACGATTTTGTAAAAACCATTAAAGATAACAATAAATCGTTTTTGAAAAATCAAATTAAAAACTCTAGTAAATTGTTACTCTATTCTACATTTAAAAAACACTATAATTTAGAAAAATATCTAAATATCATTAAAGACCCTAATCAAAGAAGACTTTTCTCAAAATTTCGTATAAGTAATCATAAACTAGAAATTGAGTTCGGCCGTTATAGCGATGTACCTCGACAGGAGAGACTGTGTGTAAATACTGCAATAAAATTGCAGTTGAAGATTAATTTCATTTTTCATTTGAATGTGAAAAATATGAAAATTTGCGAAATAACTCGCACAACATCTTAAAAGACTATTTCCAAATGAGCATCACTGATGAATTTAAGAGAAAATTATTAAGTGATATTATGTCATTGAATGACTCTGTGATAGATCTATTTTCGGATCATATTTCGAAACGTTTTTATATCAAAGACAACAGCCCTTAAACCAGAAGTCACAAGTTTCTATATATTATATTATATCATTTTCCTTTTCATTTTCTTATATTATACTCTTTCTAATACTTTCTTAAATTTTCATATTTGTTCTGTCATATAATGATATATCATTCATATTTGATATATTATGCATGTAAATAGCAGTATATTGTTTTTAGTTAGTTAAAGTAGTTTATACACCAGTTAACATTTATATACTTACGATTACGCTTACCTGGAATTAGGTCATGCAAATAAAGCGTATTAATAATAATAACATAACATATCTGCACTCTGTATAGATTAACTAATATCATGTGGGCTGGTATTCCTATATATTAATTACTACAAAGTTGAAGTTCGACTTCCGATACCAACACAGATACTAAGAACAGGTCAATGCGTATGAGCTCTGCTGCATGCTAACGATATGTTTGATGAATCCAAATAAAATATTTAATGCATATATTCATGAAATAAATTATTCTGTTTGTCGACGAGAACGTTTACACAGGGGAATTAATTCATTGGAATTGTTGTAAAAATTGCGTGAAAAAGTCTTTCAACGTTTTAGACGTCGTCATCGCTATGTTTAACTTTCTACAACAGCAAAATGTTTGGCCGTTGTCTACCAGGTGATCTGACGGTGAGAAAAAGGACTGCGACTAGTAACAAAATAGAAATCCATTTTCGTACCCTTAATCATTTGTCACGGCCAGATTCTTCTGTGAAACTGTTTGAAACTTTGTGTCTTGCACAGGGAAATGAATGTCTGGGACAAATATTTTGAGATAGGAATCTAACACCGTTAATGAGAAATGGATTTCTATTTTTCAACTTATGCCAGGCCTTTTCCTAGTTCCGAGATGACCTGGTAGATGTTGCCACCCCAAAAGTGACAGCGGAGTTTAAGTTCTACTTCTTGTACCAATACTGATATCGATCTCTTCACTTCCGTTCTCATATTGGTACCGGGAATTTTAAAGCATTAAGTTACTCGATAGATAAAGCATAGAATACATTAAGTGCGGTATACTAAACGGCAGCTGAGCTAAAATTCCTACTAAAACATGACTCGGGCGTTATACCAATAGGCAAATAGTTTACGTATTTATCGTAAAAATTATGAAATTCATTCATTTCCGATTCGTTTGAGTTTATCTTGCAATTCCTACGACTTCGGCAGTGGTAACTTTTGATCCAATACACTTGTCCACGTGCACGTACTAGATCAATTGGTGGTACTCTGGCTCGCTTTAATTGCAGCAAGAAGTAAATCTTCCACGACGCCCTTTTCACAAGTTTAGTAGTATGGTCATCCCATAAACGTTTTCAATATAGTATAAATGATGCAGCGTAATTAATAATTTCTTTTCAAAATCTATCTAGTACGAACGATGGATCTGGCGTGATTGCTTATATTTGTGATAAACCTTATTTTTCAAGAATGATTGTCGAATATAATACCATCATGGGCAGAAAAACAAAGCGAATTGCCGATGGAAGTCGTTCAAACGTGAAGATTCCTGAGCATTCCACGAAAATTAAAGTGAGATTCGAAAATATGCGTTTCATTAATACATGGTGTGACGTGAAGAAATACGATCGTAAAAAGAAATGCTGGTGCGAACCCACAGTACCGCATGTGTTCACATTTGACACACCAGTCACCCGAACATTTACATTGGAGGGAAGTCTTTATTATGTCGCAGTTATGAAAGTCACTGATAAACATTATAATGAATTGGATATAATGGAATAATAAAACTATAACATGAACTAGAAGTGACTGTCGCAAGGAAAGTGCTGCCTCATCCGAAAGAAATGAAAGGTGGACCGCAAACAGTCCATCAGTAGAAATGAAGGACCGCCGATAACACACCAAGAAACTAAATATGCTCACTTTTCGCTCTTGTTCAGTTGGCACCGCTTTTCTAGCTAGAAAAATCTCGTTCATACGCACTAGTAATTCAGATACAATAACGCGCTGAAGTTCGATTACCTTAGATCATAATACACTCTGTATGAAATGAACATTCAGTCTGAAAATTATTTATAGGATAATTACTACCTACCAAATTTGATTAACAGGCGTATCGATTTCAAACAGTGGGAATTTTGCGTTGTGTGGGCAACGCGGATTCTGTTTCTTGATGTGTTTCCTTTCGCATGCCCGGAAATCTAAACCCTCGGAAAGGAGGGACTGCTCGCAGTCTACAATCCAGTTTGCCCTTAAAAAATACTTCTTCGAATCTTATAAGGGCATGGATTGCTTTGAATTATTATTGTGATCAGCAAGTTGCACTGTATATAATTTGTGTATATAAATAATTATATAATCCTAAGATCTTTTATATTTTTGCTCTAAGTAGCTTCTAGACGTTTTAAAGTACTATTTAAAAAACGATCTGGAGTGTTTTATTAGATTTACCTAATAAAACACGACCGGCGAGTTTTTAAATGGCTTCAAAAACGTTGGCATAATAAGTCAAATCTTTATATAAAAATCTTTATATAAAAATCATTATATAAAAATCTTTATATAAAAATCTTTATATAGTTTGCATAACAATGGTCTTTTGTTAAAGTGTTCTTTAGCTGGTATAAGGACGTATGCACGTGACTAATTTCTTACTCAAGATTGGATAATTGCCTCATGAATTATTAATGAGTTTTTGAAGTAGAATTAATAGCTTTGTATGTATTGTACATGAGGGCCACAGGTTTTTCAGTTATATTGCTGTAATGTGTTTTTACCCTCTTTAAATAAAGTTGTTCATTCATTCATTCATTCATTCATTCATCTGCGACCTCTATTAAAACATTCCTCTGTTGCTTTTTTTTTACTAGTTAGACCGGAATAATTTACTCGCCTGCCCCCCTCCATCCTCAAAAACAATTCTGGACGTTTTGTCCGTATTCTACGAATGCAGTCAACATTGAATGGTAGGGGAAAGGGGGAGGTTTTCTAAATTTACGATAACACTGACGACATTTTGTCAAGTAATTGGAACTGTCGCTGAAGATATTTTGTCCAGGATTGTCTTTGCCTTTCAAAGTCAATAACCAAAGTATTGCGCATAAACAATTGAGTTTTATGCAGGACTTTCTCTTTCCGTAGTAAATATGGCTCAGTAGAATGTATTAGGCTTCAAGAAGCAAATACCACATGGTCGACAAGGTATTATAACACCCTATGCCTCGATAGCTTCTATAGAATGCTATTAAGAATCATATGCGACAACTGTCACGCATTTAATATACGTCGGAGAGCAAGTCAATGTACTTAGTAGTGTAGATACCAACCATTTTGCACTAAGAATATTCTAAAATACGTTAAGGTTACAGAACACCTTTGAGGGTTAATTTTGCCTAAAATTTTTTTATTGGTTTCCATGAAAGCATTAGACTAGTTCTATTATCTGACCAAGTTTGAACGAAAAATGTTGAAAACTCGCAGAGTTATTTAATAAAATACATTTCGCTGCAATAAGAAAGACATTGAAAATGTAATATTCAAATTCAATTTTCTCCCGAAGAATTTTACAGTAATTACTGATTTTCAAACGAGTTGTGCTCCTGCGGGTTTTGACCAATTTTTCTCAAATTTTCACAGAACATAGCTAAAGACGTCAGTTTCAAACTTGTTTTCGGATGTTTTTTAATTTTGGATATTTTAATAATAAAGAGCAATTCACTCAAACAATTCTGAAATATTTTGCAGTCGTCAAAGAAATTGCCATATCAGAGGAATGACGAAATAAACAAAAAATTCCGAACACAATTTTTTAGAACAACTATTTTACTGTATAAAAATGATATTTTCATAAATATAACTTAAAACCAACAGGAGCGCAACTCAAAAGCGTAACGGTACCGCGATTTAAGATTTTCCTGAATAATTCTAATATTATTTTATTGTTTGTTAATTTTATAACTTTACCATACTTTGCATACACTGGCGAACATTTGGTAAAAATTTGATTCAAATCGGACTGATATTGACCACGCAGTAGCGATTTTCCGCAAAACGCCAAAAAGGGTTTCCTGTAACCTTAATCGATGTTCATTTGTGATGTTAGAATAGACAGACAATCGCTTAGCTGTTGACTGGAAATATATTGCGTGACCGCCGCGCTAAATGACCAATCCGATTTTGTTATTGTCATATAATAGGCATGCGCATTTACAGTAAGTAAGTAAGTAAGTAAGTAAGTAAGTGAACTTTATTTAACCACGGTAGACTCATCAGGATTTACAATAAAATAGACAAGGGACATTACAAATAACAAAATATGGAAATACATTATTAATACCTGTTTTCCATGAGTGCCGTGCATTATAAAAATAATGTAGATAGGAGTTAAAATATTAAAATTATCGAATGAAGTTGCTACAATCAGCCTTGAATTTACGTAAAGAGCTAGCCTGTCGTAATTCTGTAGGAAGAGAATTCCACAGTACCGCACCACTGTAACTAAAACTATTTTTCCAATAGTTTGTACGCGGTTGAGGTATCGCAAGTTTGCCGGTGGTGTCTCTCAACGTATAATTTGTAATGTTACTGCGATCAACAAACATTTCGGAGAGGTAATCTGGTGCAAGGCCATTCACAGATTTATATACCATGATAGCTTTGGCAATCTTACGCTGAGATGCAAGATTTTTCCACCAAGTATTTCAAACAGATAGTCGGCATTTGTATCATAATTGGATGACGTCAGTACTCTTGCGGCACGATTTTGTAGTTTTTGTAGTTTATCCCCACGAGTACTCCCGCAACTATCCCAGATAACTGAGCGGTAGTCGAAATATGGCTGGACTAGACAATTGTAAATCAGTTCCATTGTGGAAGGTGAAACAAAAGGTCTTATGCGCTTTAAAGCACCTATGCCACTAGCAACTTTTTTACACAATTTTTCAATGTGAACATTCCAGGACAACTTCTCATCGATTTGTGTGCCCAGTGACTTTGTGTGAGAGACTTTCCTAACTGGTACGTTATTAATTGCTAAAGAAGGAGTTGCGTGAAGAGTATTCATCCTTTGATGTGAGCCAATCAACTTGAATTCAGTTTTAGTTTGATTTAAAGTAAGCCTATTTGCTGATAACCATTCACTGACATGGGCAAGATCTTCATTAAAGTTATGATTGATATTGTAAATATTATTACTTGCATATGTCAAATTAGTGTCATCAGCAAACATACATGCACGGGAATGTACAAGACAATTAGGCAGGTCATTGATGTAGATTAAAAATAGAAGTGGACCTAATATGGTTCCCTGGGGAACTCCACATCGAAGAAAATGACTATTCGAAGAATGACCATTAACACAACACATTTGTTGACGTTCACTAAGATAAGATCTAAACCAATTTCCAGTTACTCCACTGATGCCATATGCATTAAGCTTACCTAACAAGATTTCGTGATCTACAGTATCAAACGCCTTCTTGAGGTCAAGAAACAGGACAGCATGTATGCTTCCATGATCTATATTATGAGCCCATTCATTGGTGGCCTCAAGAAGAGCAGTGACAGTTGAGTCTAAACCACGAAATTCTGACTGACAATTAGCTAGGAGTTTATTTTCAGATAGATATAAATGTAACTGGTCATAACTTATCCTTTCAAAAACCTTAGCCACAACAGGGATAATGGAAATCGGACGATAATTATCAACGCAATTACATTTCCCTCTCTTGTGAGTTGGGACAACTTTTGCGCATTTCCACTCATTGGGAAATATGCCTGTGATAATAGAACGATTAAAGATGAGTCTAAGGTGTTCAGCGATTCAATCAGGGCACTCTCGAAATAATCTAGTGAAGATTTTGTCCAAGCCAGTTGCTTTTGACCTACTTAGTTTGGACAAAAGTACAGAAACTGTTAAGGAATTTGTTTCTTTCAATTGAAACGTCGTTTTAGTATTTAGACCAGATAAATATTTGTGGTAGGACCGGTTGCCTTCATTGAAGTCTATATTATCGGCAAGTTTGTGGCCGATGTTAGAAAAATATTCATTAAATGCCCAGTCCGAGCACTATTGTAGCAAGAGATATTACTTACTCTCCAACAATGATGTGCATGGTCCTGGCGTTTCATCAGGACTAATATTATCCACTTCAGTGCTCGCTTCGGCCATAAAACATTCTAGGGACTTGTTAAGATCGCTATTTTTGGCTTTCGTCGGGTAGACGTCGGCAAGAATACCATGTATTCGTTTAGACAAATCTTTAGCTTTGGTCCCTTCAAAGAGTATTGGTTCGCTTTTCGTATACCACGTAACTTTAAGTTGATCACTGTCGAAGAAAAATTTTCCGCCACTGGATCAACGCCATGTCGAACTTTCAGCAGTTTGTTCGTCGACTATTGTAAGAACAAATGCCATGAGATCTTCTAGAGATCCTGACTATATAGAGCATCCATAACTGTTGATGAATTCATTTTGAACAGGAGCTCAACAACACACGTCTGACCGGAATAACATAACAAAGCGTACTCCCATACAGCGTGTACCACGATAACAGCATACATAACAAAGTGTACCACGATACAACGTGAACATATAAGAATATATATATATATATATATATATATATATATATATATATATATATATATATATATATATATATATATATATATATATATATA